TTTTTTTTATTTGGGCCCTGGAATTCGTTCTACCTAATGTAGAACTGCTTGCCTTCGCTAAACCCACGAGCTCTTCGTCATACGCACTTTCCCCATTTGCTTAGTAGAGGTTCGAATGAGAATTTTTCTTTTGAAAGTTGCGAAACGCTGTCATCAGCTGTCTAGGCTTTCGATAAGATACCTCCAGTTCTACATGTAACATTTCATAATTGCGTTTATGCTTTAGGTCTAGGCCTGGTTTCGAACTTTGGTTAAGGTAATACACCCCACCCTTGTAATAATTGCCCATTGCGAATTCGCCCCATAACTGGCCCTGTAGAAAACACAAGTATTACTCCGTGGCTTGCCGCTTAAGAAATTGCCACCCTTCTGCTTGGAAAAAGTTGAAGTCGGTTGACCTTCAAAACGGATCTATAGTCCTCGGTTGTAGGCAGCGAAAACCCAAGCAGGCAATAGCTCCTGAGAGCTGAGGTTGAACATCAAGGCTGTAGTGTTTGTTGATATTACGCAGTCGACAGCACTGTTTACAGCCAACACAAATTCACATCCAAGCAAGGTATCGGCAGCATTACCTGGCTCTTGTTGTGCACTTGCGAGGTCATGTTAAGCACTGCAATGTCATCCCATGTAAATTAGTGGCAGTTAGATCTTTGATGTTCGAGTTCTCTTTATTTTTTACCCTCGGACAACGTGCAAAAGACAGTTTTTTCTTAACTCTTTTTCAGGCGACTTGCCTTTCCACTTTTTGTATCTTTTCAGTCCGTTCGTCTCAGTTCTGTTGAACGGAATTTCGGTCTTTTTTAGGTTTTAAAGATGATGGTTGGCAATAATCTGAAGGATGCTCAATTACAACAGATTGTGGACAAAACGATCATGTTCGCCGACCAGGATGGGGATGGCAAGATTTCCTTCAAAGAATTCTGCCAAGTTGTCAGTGGTCTCGACGTTCACAAAAAGATGGTGGTCGATGTGTAGTGGAACCGAGGGGGCGGGGAGCGGCAGCTGCCATTGCCTCGCCATCAAGAACGGTTACGATATAAGAATCATATCTTGCTTGCATTACTCTCTCATAAAAAAACGCACACGCATATATATATATATATATAGGTGTGTGAATATTTTACTTTATACCTCTGTCTTCGAGATTCAAGCTAAGAATGACGACGCCGCATGTCGTTGCTAGCAAACTCACGACCAATATCCAGCATTACTGTCGTCTGTGATGTTCCAATTTTAAGCCAAACATGACCGCGACAGCGGCGGGAGACACCCCGCTTACACCCTTATCTATATCAATTGGTTCCGACTACTCCCGTCTCTTCGAT